CTACATCTAAAAACGAAATTTGAATTCAAAGCAATGTATGTGAATAATTGCATCTGGGATCCGTGATAGCCTTTTTCCTTCGTTGGTCATATCCGTGTTAGTTTGATTTCACAATTTCCATTTTCGCCGTAAAGCCTGTCGATGAATAAAATATTGTTCATGTTTACAAAAATACACTTCCGCAATGCACAAATCACTTCCCATATCTGCCCGCTTACCCAGTTTTGACTGTTTAACATTTGTAAATCATTGGAAATCATACATACCTTGGCATATCTCGCTGCGATGGAAATTTGTAAACTGCTCCTCCAGCTCTGCAACCACGAACGCATCTGTTTGGCATCTTGGCTATAATTGTAAATAAACAGTATTATCTTATATTCACGCACATTACGTTATGGTTAAATATATTTACTTTTTTTGTTGTACTTGCCTTTAAAATTGTTTAAACACTTCAATTTAAATAAAACACGCTCCACTTTTAAGTTTTTGTTTTGGTTTTGTTTCACTTTTGAATTCACCATAGCTACCCCACGGTTGCATTTAGTGCCTACGCAAATACTTAAGATCGTGTTTCGAAATTTAATCTGATCAGTGAGTAACTTCATTAGCTGAGACTATAGAATACTTAGCGCTCTCATCAATTTAAATTTTTTAACATGATTTGCCAAAAAAAAATTTCTTCTATATGTAAAACCACATGTAGGAATGCCAGTTATTTGACATAGCCGTTACAAAAAAATATACTGATTTAGATAGAAATATATGAAAAATGCGGGTAATTTCTAAAATTGTTGTTTTTCTATACCTCACTTGATTCTTGTTAAATAGCAGGTTTAAATTCTTATTGATTGCCTGTACCAATTGATAGAAAAGAATTCGGGATGGTAATTTTTGACAACTATGGGTCTGTGCCAATTGATAGAAAAGAGGAAATTGATCCGTCAAAGATTAAAGTAAAAATTTGACATTTCTCGCGGTGAATACGAACGTCAGAATTTTACCTTTCTCATAGGCGAGCATGGTGCATTTAAATTCTCGCCGCGGTCCTTCTGAATGTCAAAATGATGTGTTTGTTGTAAACAAGGCGAATTCATATTACAACAAACACATCATTTTAACATTCAGAAGGACCGCGGCTAAAATCTAAATTCGCCAATAACACCACCTTGTATAGATTCGCCTTGCTCATAGGTCTAGGTAAAATTTTGACAGCTTACAAACATGTATACACATAATATGGTTTGGCGGTAATAGAGTGAAAATGAAAATAAAAGCTGAAAAAGCACAAACAAAGCGTACGTTACTTGCAAGTTATAAAATAAATATAAATTTTAACAATTTCAGCAAAACACAAAAATAGAGCTTTCCCACGATCGTTTGTTTGGTTTTTCAACTGTTAAAATTTTACTTTGCATTTGGCTCAGCAAAATTTAATTTATTTGTGAACCATAACAAATTTTTCTATTTACCAAACCTTTATTTGCTTCGGGGGTAGAAACCAGGCCGAAAGATACTGAAGTATTTATATATTTATTCAGCCTTATCATGAGTTTCATTTTCCCCAAACCGGTTCACTTTTCACTCTTCGTTTCCATGGTTTTACTATAGGCGAATGACAAATTTTCTGGTGAATTTTTTGTCAGGCGAAACTCAGGATAAGGCAAATTATGTTTATTTTATATTGCTGTATATATTTTTTTTTAGATTTTAGCATTCATATTTTGGATTAATCGTATGCATTTGTTTAATTAGCATTATAATTACCATTTATAATATTCTTTTAATAAAATCACGATTTGTCAAATGTTTATATTTATTTATCTAATAATAATGCAGCACACAACCCTCAAATCTAAGAAAAAGTCTGAGGAAGGCCATTAAATAGCAGCACACAACCCCGTGCCTTCCTCAGGAGTGAATATAACTACAACAACAACGACTACTACAACAACAACCCAAAAAGGTTGGTTACTGTCTATACTGTGGTCGCTATATCAGAAGTGAAGTACAAAAGAGTAAAATATAAGTAACGGAATATTACGAAGCGATTGAGCACCTAGTGATGTACAATTCATATTTCGGGTATTCTGTAACCATTAATCATATTAGTAATGTTGAATCATGATGCAATAACACAAGGTGGTATCAGTTGTGACAGCTCGATTTGACACTGCCTTAGCTCAGTAGAATGAGGAGAAAAACGGGAAGAAATGAGTCCCCATATGGGGGAAAAATATAAAATTTCACATTTTCTCCTAAACAAAATTTGCTTTTTTATAGTATATTCGTTGTGAAATGAAATAAAATAAGACAAAATACTTTTTTAAGAAAACAAAGTGTGTATACTGAGAAACAAATAAAATATATTCGACTATATTAATGGGCAAAGAATAGTTAAAGAGGTAACACTGTTTCACGTAAGGCAGTCAATATGGCGGAATTAGAGCGAGAAGTTGCCAACTGATAACACCTTGTATTATTGCATCATGATGTTGAATATATTTTAGGTACTAATCACTCAATACATAATATTTTCCCCTTTTTATCTTAAACTTCATTAATATGTATTTTTAAATATTAGTTTATAATTTTCAATAGCTATGTATTTTTTTTTCTTATGCTTATTAGTTTAGGTAGAGTTATACAACAAACAATTTATTATTTTAAATTCAATTTTGAATACATATCGTTAAACAAAATATTATTGTTTTTCATAAGAAAGTTTGTTAGGCTTTTGTCTCTTGCGAGTAGATCTCCGAACACACATGGGTCTATACCGTATTTTTTAATATTTTTTTTGTTTTGCTAGTTCAGGATTCGAATTGGTATTTTCAATACTTTGAGGTAATTCATTAGATATCAAAGGATGATATTTGTCTAGTAATGTAGAATATCGTAACTGATTTTGGATTTTATACAATACTTTTTCCCCTTTTTTAAATGTTCGTTCATTTATTTCAGACTTTTTTAAATGATTATCATTTTGAAAAATTAACGTCTTGTTTTTATTTGTATTAAACGTAACTTTTTTGGTAAGGAATTCAATAATGTTCTAGGTATATATGAAAAAATATGGCTAGCTATACTTTTATTTGTTGTTGTACAAGGTGTATTGTTGTAGCACATTCAAATTTTGTTTAGTTTGGTTTGAATTGGTAAAGATTTTAAACGTTCATCTGTTAAATATTTTTTTTAAACTGTTTTTGATTGTTTGTACTCCTCGTTCCGCTAACCCATTACTTTGCGGATGATAAGCGGGTGATTTCATTAATTCAATGTTAAATTTTTTTGCGAATTGTTCAAATTGATAAGAAGAGAATGGCGGTTCATTATCCGATACTAATACTTTTGGGTAACCGAAAATTCTAAAAACTGATAGCAAACTGTTGCTCAAACTAATTGCGTCTGTCTTTGGTAGATATTTGACAACAATATATTTGCTAAATGAATCAATAAAAATGTAAAACGTTTTTGATTCTAAATGAATTCTTTCGAAAGGTTCTCTACACTGCGGCCATTTACTCGAAATGTTTTCTTTTGGAATTTTTTGCGTTGACTGGCAAACAAAACCACTTTTAACATAATTTTCTATGCTTCGATCTATTTTAGGCCACCAAACTGTACTTCTTGCATGCATTTTCAATCTAACAATTCCATCGTGGTTTTCGTGCAGAGCTGCAAGTACTTCGTTACGCATTTTTTCAGGTATAACCAATCTATCTCGGTAGTATAAGCAGTTATTCAATTACATCTGACAAATTATGTACCGATTCTATATGAGTTAAATTTGCCAATGGCAGACGTGACATTGCATCTGCTGGTGCCGTATATGTGTTTATGGAATTTTTTTAAGCCAAACATAACAGCAAGCGCCTCTATGTATTTGAGAATAATTACGCTCCGAAGGACTTAAGGTGCAAGATGCAAATAAAACTGGTTTTTCGACACCATTTACTAAATGAGCTAAAACTGCTCCTACGCCATATGGACTGGCGTCACACGTTACTATTATTGGTTTCTGTGGATCATAAAATTCCAGTAATTTATTATTTTCAAGTAGTTTTTTGACTTTAAAAAACAATTTTCTATTTTTGTTGACCAATTAAACTTCGAGTCTTTGCGTAGTAGACCATACAGTTCTTTTATCTCGCTTGACAAGTTTGGAATGAAACTGCTATAATAATTTATCATGCCTAGGTACGATTGCAACTGTGTTAAATTTTTTGGAATAGGCGCATTAACTATAGCTTCTATTTTTTCATTACTTGGCCCCTTTTGTGAAATTGTATGACCAAGATAATTTATTTATTTTTAAAAAAATGAACATTTATCCAAATTTATTTTTATATTGAATTTGTTAAGTTTTTCAAATACTTGACAAAGACGAATTTTACATTCTTCGAAACCAGATCCACCAATTTGAATATCATCTAAATAACACGACGTACCAGGAATACCTAAAAGTACTTGATCCATATAATCCCTTATGTGTATTTATAGTAACATATTTTTTTGAAGTTTCTGAAATCTTCAACTGCTGATATGCTCCCGTTAAATCAATGACGCAAAAAGATTTACAATTAGCAAGTTTGGCAAAAATATCGTCGATTCTCGGTAGTGGATAATGTTGGGTCTCAACAAACCTATTAATGGTAACTTTCACTATGCGACAGTCAAAATCGGGATGGGATGAAACCAACGGGAAATGTTATATCGGTCAAACCAAAGTCATACGTGGCCCGGCGCTTCGCTGGGTCACGTCTAGGAATCGAGATATTTCGATTTGAAGTTAGTAACTATCATATAGGGGAAATTGTCACCTTTGGTGGTCTTTTTTTTGACATAACTCGAGAACCACTAGTCCGATTTTGCTCAAAGAAATTTAAAAAAATTAAAA